ACCACAAGAAATATTTTTTAGGTAAAAAATTATAGAATTTTTCATTTTAAAAAATTATTTCTTTAAAAATCGTTTATCATAAACGTCGCGTACTTCAGCTTCATAATATATCTTTGTTTTAAAAACGGCACTAAACCGTCTTTAAATGTAAATCTTTATTAAAAATATATAAAACATTATATTCTTGATTATTTCGCCCTTCTTTACTATTCCAACCGGTTCAAAAATTTCTTGTTTACAGTATATAAAGGACTCTCAATTGCATAAATGCTGTGTTTCCGGTTTAATGACATTTTGAAAAGTCGTTATACTTCTGTTATAATTTTATTAGTTCATGGAATATCCTATGAATAATCACTAGGAAATTCGGATAATTCCTGAAATTCAAAAATATTTCTGATTTTCAAAAAAAAAGGTAAATTTCAAATATAAAAAAATAATTTGCACCATTGGAAAAAGCAGGATAAAACTTTTCAAAAACATATAGATTAAAAAAAATTTTTTACTCTTTTATACAAAAGTTATAATTTAAAAAAAAATCCAATGTTACCTATTTTCCTATTGGATCACTTGAGAAATTTTGTCCCATATTTATATATTCATTCGTAAAGTAATTCAACTTGTTTTGAAAGTTAATTAGATTGACGATCTCTCCAAGTTTTGCATCGAATCATTTTTTTATTGCTTCATCAATAAATTAAAGTAGTTGAGTTTTCTTAAATTAAATATTAAGCTTGATGCGAGAAAATTTAATTATTATTCAAAATCGATTATACTTATCAAAAAGGGATGCACTTCAAAACTTCGTAAAGTTCATAACGTTTATTGATCAATAACTCCAACCAGTATCTAAATTTTTTTTTAAGAAATAGGTGCAAAAAATCAGTTTTTTGCGAATTGCCGCCTTCCAGAACATTTTAGCATAAAAATAGTTATTATAAAAAAGAAAGTGTATAAAATTCTAAGTAATTTTATTTAAAAAAAATGATCCATGTAGCTCAAAAATTGACTGAGATATAGTTTCCGCAAAAACTGCATTTTCTTTCGTGATTTTAGCCAAAATCCACTATTTTTCATTTTTTTCAATATATCTTTCAAACTAATGCTTTTTGAAAAAAATGACCAACAGGAAAGTTAAAGCCGACTAAATTCCTGACAATTTGCAAAAAAGAACAACACAGAAAATTAAAAGGCATTAAAATAAGCTGCAACGCTTATTATTTTTTTAATCCAATTTTGCTTATTTTAATCCATTTTGGTATTAAAATAAGCAAAATTGGATTAAAATAATAAGCGTTGCAGCTTATTTTAATACCTTACAATTTTCTGTGAATGTAATAGCTCTAATAGCAAAAAAAGTGAGTCACTAATTCAAATTGGTAAACATTTTTACTAATTCAGATTTAGAGAGTGATGTTGGTCATTTTTACAAAAAACCATTAGTTTCAGAACTATATTAAAAAAACTGAAAAATAGTGGATTTTGGCTAAAATCACGAAAAAAATGGTATTTTTTTGCGGAAGCTATATCTCGGTCAATTTTCGAACTACAGGGCTCTCTCATTTTTTATAAAATTACTCAGAATTTTATACATTTTCTTTTTTATAATTACTATTTTTTGTTAATATGTTTTAGAAGGCGGCAATTTGCAAAAAACTGATTTTTTGAACCTATATCTTAAAAGAATTTTAGGTTCTGGTAGAAGTTCGAAGTACCAAATTTAGGTACTTTATTTTTACCACAAAATGTGGGTTTAAGTAAAACAATTAAGGTCCTGAGTTAAAACATGATATGCCTTGTTTTCATAATTTCTTGCATATTTTTTAAAATTTCGGCATGCTCACTTATCAATTACTATTTTGTTTATTTGATTAATAAATATAATACTTTATTAACTGTTTGTTTAAAAAAATGCCCGACTAACTATAATAAAATGTCCAATTTTCCTAAATTGACTTAGGCAAAATCCGAAATGCCTAGGAAATTCCCGAAAATGTCTAGAAAATTTAGAAACATCTTAAGATTTTAGGAATTATCCGAATTTTCTTTATGATTCTTAGACATTTTCAAAATTGCCTAGGCATTTCGGTATTTTATTAATACTTCAAAATGAAGGGTTTAACTCTCACGTGTCTGAGTTCATTTTTTGACGTGCGTGCCTGAGCTGGGTCCGAGGGACCAAGCTGCTTAAGTTCCATAAAAAAACAAGATTTCATAGCAGAATATTCAATATTTTAATTCTAAATTATAATTGTAATATTTTGCAAATATATAATTGCAAAATATATTTAATCTTTTGACACTCTAGGGTACATAAATAGCCCACAAAAAGTCGCGTCGTGACACCTTTTTCGACAGGGCGAATTTAAGTGTACAGTACAAAAAAAGTAATTAATTTAATTTAAGTATTACTGGGTATTCTTAGGTTTCTGGGGTCGCTGATGATGAATCCGGTGTCCGTCTTTCAAAATTCAAAATGGCGGATCCAATATAACGGACAAATCCATAACCAAGATTTCTCAATTTGTGACCAAGATTGCGTTGTAACCAGACAAATTCTCATTCGCCTGGCATCATTTTTTTTGAAAAAATAATATTTTTAGGTCCTTTTATAGGCTTATGTATTGCAAATTTGAATTATTTATCGGATAGAATTGCTTATTTTTTTATTTAATGTTGTTTCTACCTTTTTTTTTTTTTTTTTTTTTAAAAAAAAGCAGCCAAATTCTCATTCGTCTGGCACTTTTGAGACAGGATATATACATTAAGCACTAAAAACAGCGTAAAAATAATAATTTTTTAACAATTTTCGATTTTCTTGACTTAAAATAATCCTCACTAAATTTTTAAGATATTTCTAAACTAGTATTCCAAAATTCAAAATGTCGGATCCAATATGGAGGACAACTTTTGATGAAACTTAATATATTTATCTGAAAATAATTACTCGGGGGTTTTCGGGGTCGCTGATTACAAATATATGGGACGTTCCACGTCAAACTGAACAGAGCTCTAGCCAAAAATTGGCTTGATAAAAAAAATCGTTTAAGGGCTGAAAAAACTTGTACACTCTTGTACTTTCGAAAGCAGTTGGGCGATTTTAGAAATTCAATATGGCGGCGCCTGTAGATGTGATATAAGTCATCAATGTCACGATTCGACAAATACAAACATGAATAAAATTTCCAAAATTAATTAAATTGAATCAAAAAATACACTTTTAAGCATTTTTGGGGTCGCTGAATACGAATCTGAAGTCAGATTTTAAAAATTCAGAATGGCAGATCCAAAATGGTGGTCGATATTTAAAAATTTAATATTTTTCCTCAAAACTTGCTACTAGGGGGTTTTCGGGGTCGTAGAATACGAATCTGAAGTCAGATTTTAAAAATTCAAAATGGCAGATCCAAAATGGTGGTCGATTTTTGTTAAAACTCAATTTTTTTTCTCAAAATTGGTTACTCGGGTGTTTTTGTGGTCGCTGAATACGAATCTGAAGTCAGATTTTAAAAATTCAAAATGGCGGACCCAAAATGGTGGTCGATTTTTAAAAATTTAATATTTTACCTCGAAACTTGCTACTTGGGGGTTTTCGGGGTCGTAAAATAAGAATCTGAAGTCAGATTTTAAAAATTCAAAATGGCGGATCCAAAATGGTGGTCGATTTTTGTTAAAACTCAATTTTTTTCTCAAAACTAATTACTCGGGGGTTTTTGGGGTCGCTGAATACGAATCTGAAGACAGATTTTAAAAATTCAAAATGGCGGATCCCAAATGGTGGTCCATTTTTGTTAAAACTCAATTTTTTTCAAAACTGGTTGCTACCACCATTTTGGATCGGCCATTTTGAATTTTTTAAATCTGACTTCAGATTCGTATTCTACGACCCAAAAAACCCCCGAGTAACCAGTTTTGAGAAAAAAATTGAGTTTTAACAAAAATCGACTACCATTTTGGATCCGCGATTTTGAAATTTTAAAATCTGATTTCAGATTCGTATTCTACGACCCCGAAAACCCCCATGTAGCAAGTTTCGAGGTCAAATATTAAATTTTTCAAAATCGACCACCATTTTGGATCCGCCATTTTGAATTTTTAAAATCTGACTTCAGATTCGTATTCAGCGACCCCAAAAATGCTTAAAAGTGTATTTTTTGATTCAATTTAATTAATTTTGGAAATTTTATTCATGTTTGTATTTGTCGAATCGTGACATTGATGACTTATATCACATCTACAGGCGCCGCCATATTGAATTTCTAAAATCGCCCAACTGCTTTCGAAAGTACAAGATTGTACAAGTTTTTTCAGCTCTTAAACGATTTTTTTTATCAAGCCAATTTTTGGCTAGAGCTCTGTTCCGTTTGACGTGGAACGTCCCATATATATGTATATAGAATACCTCATGGCATTCATCATATTCACCAAGACGTTAATTCAGTTGAACAACTATTAATCCCACATTTCAAGACTACTATCACATATTCCTCTCAAGTTTCCTGAAGTCATTTATAAACTTTCGACATGCATTTAATTAAAGTTCTTCTTTTTTTATTTTTTCGAGGGTGGTGAATAAATTCAAGAATTTCTGGTTTCTCTCTATATTGAAATAACATTATTTATATATATAAATAATAAAAAAAACTGGTATTTAATTTTTGCATATTTATATATAAATAATGATTTAAATATTTCAATTAGAATATATTATAAATTTTGATATATGATTCTGGGTAAAGGACATATCGTCTTGAAGAGGAACGAAATATAGGAAACTGCGCGCACAGCTGGAAGTGGTTTAGCGTCACGTGAGGGTGGCAAATGAAAGGTGGGAGAAAAAGTCCGATGGCGCAGAATTAGGAAGGGGATTGCGTGTGTGAGGATATGGAAAGGGTTACTCTCTTGTCGAGTGGTGGGAGGGATAAGAGCGTCATCCCTAGGTTAGAAGAGGTGGCACCAGAATGTAGACTTCAGTCGACATTCGCGACTCACGCTGTCACGAATTCGTCTTTTCATTTCTTTTTTTTTGCCTAAAACATTCTCTTGAAAGAGAAAATCATTTTTTTTTGAAAATTAAAATCAAAATTACATAAACACGTGTAATTCTAGTCGTTTTCTAGTTTATTGTTCACTTAAGTGTGAAAATTAGTTAAGATTAGACAGACCGGTTAAATGATTCTATCTTCATTAAAAAGAAAGAGAGAGACATGTTTTGTTTTTCTTGAGTGAACGACTGATAGGCTCCAAAGGTCGCTCGATAAACGAAGATAGAACAAATGTGGCGTACTGCGCGTGTGTGCCTTTGGAGGGAAAGGAAAAGGTTGTGTACCTGATAGTATAATAAAGTGGTACCCCCATTGATGAGACTCAAATCTTAATTTCAAAAAAAAAAAAATCCAATATTTTTTGAATCAAAAATAAAAAAAGAGGGTGATTTTTTTTTTACCATGCAACCGGTTGGACATAGTGTGCCGTCGTCACCCTCGATTGGAAAGACGATATCATTCGTGCGAATCTATCAAGGTCCATTGCCAAAAATAGATTGTCTATCCTCCTCTTTGAAACTCGCGAGACTAACTGGAATAATTTTGTGATTTTTTTTTATATGTGATTAAATTGAAAGCTAACTGGAAGTGATAGTGTTTTTTGGTGATGGTATATAGTGGGTCAGAAACTGTTGAGAGATTTTCTAAAGGCGCCCGGGTGCGCTAATATATATATATATATATATATATATATACATATGTGTGTCTGTGTATGTATATGTGTGTAAAAACGACATACTCTCTTGTGTTACTTTTGTGTGGACCTTGAAAGATGGGCGTACTCCTAATGGCGGAAGGCATCCACCCTCGCATGGAATTGAACCCGGTCAAATTGTCTTCAGACAGCACTCATGTGACCGGTGTGAGTAACAATAACAATATCATCAACAGCAATAGCGGTAGCAATAACATCATCAAGATCGATGTAAACGATTCATCGTCCATGCCAATCACGTCATCGCAAATGATTGACAACGTCGATGGAAAAGATGACCCGGCACGTTGGATGCCACCACCACCAAAGAAAAAGTGGATCCGGCATTACCTGCTTGGTGAGAGAAAGAGACGTGACTAATGATATGATAAATAGATATTTTCATTTTTCATCATTCCGAAGACGAAACTGAGAATCGTGTTTTTGAAAATTACGTTGCGTCACGTCGGTTTATTTATTTTTTTTTTTATATTTTATATAAACTAGGAGAAAAGATTGTTTGGGGTTACCATTTTTAGTTAGTAAACTAATGAGCCGAAAATTTTGAACGTTTAAATGAACGAATTTTTTTTTTTTTGCAATTTCTTTATGTACGAATTTTATTACAAATATTATTATTATACAAATATAAACGTTGTGTACGTTGTGTTTAAATATCTAAAAAGAAGTTATTAATTTAATAATTATGCACGGAGAAAAAGGAATGGTTGGGCCAACCATAGGTATTGATAAATACATCCCATCAATATTATATGGTTACCACAACCATATCTTTAGTTGATACAACCATAGTATGGTTGGCGCAACCAAAGGTCAGGTTGACACATCAAATTTGCAATTTTTCGTCATTTTGATGTGACAACCTAACCTTTGGTTAGGCCAACCATACTATGGTTGTATCAACTAAAGATATAGTTGTGGTAACCATATAATATTGATGGGACGTATTTATCAATACCTATGGTTGGCCCAACCATTCCTTTTTTTTCCGTGTGTAATTTACTATTTTATTTTACAATGCCATCATAATTTTTAATAATTTATAGATTGAAAAAAATATTTCGTTCATTTGAACGTTCAAAACTTATTTGGCTTATGTAAACTATACTACTGCTAATTTATTAGTTATGGTTACTATTTTTATTGGTTGGCATAACTATTTTATTAGTTAGTTTAACTAATTAGTTTGTTGGAATAACTATTTAATTAGTCACCTTCACAGTTTTTCGGAGGATATCAAATTGAGACCATAAAGTGTATCAAATTGTTGATAATGCAACGTTTTGATTTGAGAGCCTCAGAAAACTGTGTTACTAACGAAATGGTTAGACACTGACTATAACTAAATGGTAACAGTAACTAATATAAATTAGAAAAAATACTCATACTAATGAAATGGTAATATCGCAACCAATCGTTTCTCTCAGTGTATTAACAGGAAAACTCACTTTTAGACGACAAATATTTTATAAAAAGCAAAAATTCATAGCTGTTTTGTTTTCTAAGGAACACTTCTAGGGCACGCGTAAATAAACTCTAAAATTCATTTTCCACAATTTACATTTGACAGAATTTCCATTACGTATAGTCTTTAGTTTTAACCGAATTTTGGTATTTTTTCATATTATTATGTTATACGAAAATTCCTTTTAATCCCTTTAGTTTAAGTGGTCAATATATTAACGCCCATGTTCAGATTTTGTAAATTTTAAAAACCATCAATTGAAAGTTTTATTTTTCAACAATTTCAAAATATATGCGGAAAAAAAGTATAAAATAACTTTTACTATATTTACAAAGTAAACCCGCATCTCTGTCAACTTTTTCTCCTGAAATAGTAAAAATTACTATACTGAAATTGTAGAGTTTACTCTGGAAATAGTAGTTTTTAATATTTACAGAGCAAAAGTTGCCAGAAATGTGCAGAAAAAATGACAAGCTTTTGAAACGAAAAAACTGAAAAAGAAGCTTCGTTGTTTTTTGACATTAACCCTTAACTGGCACCATGAGTGTCTAGTAGACCCGAGCATTTTTTCGAGATCAAATTAATTGAATGTATAGCTTTTGAATATTTTTTATATTTTAATATATTAGTTTGACATATTCTTAATAAATTTGTAAATTTTTTTTTGATACAACTAATTCGATACAAAAGAATAAATTAGCTTTAAACATTAATAATTATAAATTTTTAATTTTAATCCAAAAAAGTCACATTTTATTTTGCAAAATAAATTACCTTTTTTCAGGCGCGGATCCACGGTGGGGCGAAAGGGGCGATCGCCCCCCCCCAAAGCTTCTTGAAAATTATAAAAGTTTAACACATTATCTAAACTAATTTTCTCTTTTTTTATACCCACACTTCTATAAGGTTTCAATTTTCGAATCGCCCCCCCCCCAAAATTTGCTTCTGGATCCGCCCCTGCCTTTTTTGCAAGTCCTTCTGTTGTGATAATTTTTTCCTTAAATAATAATACATCATAAACTTAAATTTTTAAGTCATTAAAATTTAAATAACTCATGAATTTTTAAGTAAAAGCACACAATTTTTCGTTTTTATTTTTCATAATTTTTTTTAACTAAAAATAATTTAATCCCTGTAAAACTAATGCTATTTACGTTCAAACGCGGATTTTTGTCAGTTAAGGGTTAAATCATTCACTGAATGATAAGTTATTAAGCTTTAAGACAATTATATTTTTATTTGATTCAAATAAATTTTATTTGTCTCAAATAAATGAAAATTAAATATTTCTCTATTAAAAAGAAAATTTTAATTTTTTTTAAAAGAAATTTGTTTTTAACCCTTGGCAAAATACTTGTATAGGCAAATTATATGCTCCATCAATAGGAATGTATAAACAGGTTTTTGATAACTGAAAATATTTAAAAAGGATCATATTTATCCCGATAAGAGCTTATCGTACTGGAGATGTTTTCGTAACAGAAAATAAGACATATTTTTAAAAATATATAGTTAAATCGTACCATAGTTTTGTCTAAATATATTTTTTTATTAAGACTATAAAATTGTTTGTATTCTATACATATGAAATTATTAATCTAAACAAACGAAGTTGAAGTACGCAACGTTTATTTTAAACAAATTTTTAAAGAAATAATTTTTTAAATAGAAAAATTCTATAATTTTTTGCCTAAAAAAATATTTCTTGTAGTTATTATTAATCAACAAATTATAAAAAATATTTTTTAGGCAAAAAATTAAAGAATTTTTCATTTTAAAAAATTATTTCTTTAAAAATCGTTTATCATAAATGTATTGCGTACTTTAACTTTGTTCTGAAGAACATAATTTTTTATTTTTTAAACTAAATTCATTTTTAGAAAATTAAAAATTTTTTTAAAAATAATTAATGAATTACTTAATAATAATGCAATATCATTTTTATTATTCTTTACATGTCAATGATGTTTTTGAACAATTTCGTCAGCGATATGACATATATATATATATATATATATATATATATATATATGTTGCTGATATCACGTGTGCGACAGACTTGATTTCCTTATCCACAAAGATCTTCGACCCTTTCGTATAATAATTATGTCTAACGTCTGTAAAAATATGAGCAAAAGAAAAATTAAATTTTTATCTGAAAATTATCAAAAAAAATGTAATTTTATGTTTTCAATAGAAATTATTGGAAAATATTTTGTAATATTAATTTCACTTATATAATTTATATTTATTTTTAGGCGCGCCTTTAATGTTTATCGATTTATAATTTGTTTAATAAAATAATATTTTTTTGTGATGTAATTTTTTTTTTTTTTTTTCTTTGGTGGTTTAGTGTCGATAAACAAGAGCGAACTGAAGTTTAATTTTAACATTATATTTCTCTTGGCGTCTGACCAAGATCATTCCATGAGTCTCTAAATTCGCCTTAGATTTTTGAAGTTCGTTGTCCAGTTTGATTTTTTTTACAGCGAAATTTTTTTTTTTTGCCCCTCCACGTATGAGTATAAGTGACGGGAATATAAATTAAGTATAAAAAGAAGTTGAAAATTATATGTAAATGAGATGAAATCAGATATAAATGATTATAAAAAAAAAAAAAAAAAAAAAAAAAAAAAAAAAAAAAGAATGAAGAAGCAGATTACAACGTTAAAATTCTGAAATTCGAGAATAATACCCAAAGCGCATGAATCTTATTATATAGATATATACTTTCTGGTACCACCTTTCACATACGTTTATGCCCACGTTTTACTTGGTTGATACCACAATTTATGGCGTGTCCCTAATCATAAATCGTCTTTTCCTTTTACATGTTGCCTAACCTACCACACATTTTTTTTACCTGTGTGATATAAATAGATTCATCAATACAAATAAATTCAAGACAAAAAAAAAAAAAAAAAAAAATCCTGCTCGCTATTCGAGCGACAGGTAAGATATGCGTCAACAGTCTCTCGGTAATTTTGGAGGCCGAAATTTGCGGAGGTCGTTATTTTTAGGTCAGGGATCCTGGTTCGTATAAAGTTGTATATATATATATATATATGTAGTTTTCTATGTCTTATTCCCAAAGACAAAGGTCAAAAATTGATAGTGACAAAAATTTTATTTGCTCTGAATTTATTCTGATGCAAGTTTTCAAATTTTTGCACTGTAAAATTTGTCGATAATTTTGTTTGAATTTATAAAATGTTTTTTAAATATTCAATCATAACTGTGTTTACAAATATTTTATAGAAAAATGAAAATTTTCTTATGTAATGCCGCAAATATAAAATGAACATTTTGTCGTAGGTTTTTTTTTCTCTCTCTCTCTTTTGTTTGACTTGATATAATTTTTACACGTTTGGTAACAGTATAAAATATATTCATGAACTCCATTTGTTGTGAATTCTAATGTTTAATGCATATTATGATTAACAAGTTCCAATATTTATGTTTGATCAACGTCAAAAGATAACACATGTGGAAATGAGATCAGCCTCTTTCAAAGCTGAAGAGTTTTTGTTCGTTTTTTACCGGCCACCATGTCGTATGTACATTTAGTCACGTACCTCAATTTGCACATCGTTGAGGCATTATTACAATTTGTTATCGTGTAAGTGAGAGAGAGAGCCAAACAGTATCTACAGTTTCGATATGATAAATCGACGACGCGGCTGACTCCGTATATTTCCTAAATTTATTCTCATACATGTTTCTTTATACTCATATTGCGGCTGAATTGAGAGCAATTCTTTTTAAAAATACTAGATTAAAATGAAATCTGAAAAGAAAGATTCTAAAAAATATAAAAAATAAATTTTGTCACGTACTCACTACACTGGGGTCAATTGGACCGTGACAAAAAT